AGTGTACACATACTCTATATTGAAAACTGAAATATTCGTATTTAAAGACCAAAAAACAAGAAGAATATCCAGAATTAAGTGTGTGTCCAGGCACTTTTACCTCAGCGGAGGAGTTCTCCCGTGTTCAAAGACGTCAGTGCGGTCAGTTTTACGTTTCGAGGAGAAGCGGCTAATTGGCGGTGAAATTTCGAGTCCTTCGACCGGCGACCACGTCGTGTAGTGGTAATAATGAGGGCCGTAGGCGTAACTGACTAATGTTTATGAGGCGCGCTGTATATAAGCCGGCATTAATATAGATATATGCATTTGCGATTTGCTCGTGTGCTGATACAACGCGCTCGCGCTCCCGTGCTGGCCAAGTACGGGTAATGGGGTTAATGAGCGGGAGAGAGGAAGAGAGAAGAGGAGAGAAATGGAGAGAAAAAGGCACCTTGTTGTTACTCGAAAGCTCGATCGAGCGCGGACCGTAGGACGTCCCCGTGGTAGATCGCGTTCGCTGGAGGTGCCACGGCGTGAATATTCATGGACGCGTGAGGTGAGTAGGAAAGCTGCAGGGTGGCTGTGTTGAGTGTCGTTTGGTGTTTTTGTCGCGAACGAAACACGGAGGCAAGCGATCATTTCCCTATCGCCGTCGGTCGTGGTCAGTCTCGTTCGTCCGAGCGGTGCGTAGCGGCTCACGTGAGAAAGAACGCAACTCGTGAATACGCGGAAACGCAAAAATCCGCGAGAACGAGAGCCGCGGATCCGGAGAAGAGGAGGCTCTCGTAAAGATCGCCGGCATTCCGCGGCGTAATCCCGACGGATTAATAAACATGATCGAGACGGCGCCAACTGCTGCGAAAACTGGACTGCCCCCTCGGGCGATCGCCGATGTACGCCGCGGGAGGAACTTCCCAGGATTCCTCGCGCGGATTCTTGGCGGGAGTGTTCGTTTATGGACCGAGGAGTTGCATAATGTATCGGCGTTTTCGCGTGAGAGTCCGTCCGAGAGGGCGGGTAGCTCTCCCTCCTCTTCTCGCTTGCAGCTTTCGCGTAGCCGTTGCGAACGTATGGAACGATGCTGCTGGCAGTCGTCGGCTACGACGAAGACGAACTCACACACAGCGCACGCACGCACGCACGCACGCACGCACGCACGCACGCACCTACGCTTTTCTCCTCTTCTCTGCTCTTCGCAGAGATGTTCGCACACAGCAGGTAGGGAGAGAAGCGCGGCCGGAGTTGTTCCGCGCTCGAGCAATTCCTTGATGCATATTGTCACGCGTTGTTAAGCCCCGAGAGCACCGCCATTACCGGTTGGCCGGTTGGGGAATCGACGTTGCTGGCCGTTGCCGGCCGTTGCTGTTAGCCAAGCCTGAGGTAGAAGGTGCGGAAGGTAGCAGCGCGCGTCTCGCCGGCTACCGGACACCGCCGGTCTACACCGGCTGGCTGGACTTGGGCAACATCGCCTCGGACCATCACTGTTTACGTAAGAGGTCTGCGCGCATCGTGGATACTCCCGTCGTGTCCTGCCGTCCCTCATCCTGCCGTCACTCTTCTCGGGGTAACGAGGGGAGACACACCTGGCAAATCGAACGTCTTAATAGGCACCAACATCGACGGCGACTGATACGGCGATTAAACGAGCAGAGCGCTCCTCACGCGAGCGTCAGAGAGACGCGCGGGCATAATTGACTCGTGCTAACGCGCGCGCAGGCCGCGCCGACATACCGCGAGATCTCCTCCCGGCCGTCGGAGGAAATTATTTCGTTATCGGATCGGGTTGAATGGTCGGCCGATATATATTTCTCGATCGTTCCGCGCTCGCCGCCGCCGGGATGCGCGCGCGCGCGCGCGCGCATGTGTATATTCTCCGGCTGAAAGAAGGCTGCCTCGAACAGATCGATAGCCGGCTATTTATCTTGGCGGCAATATCCGCGAGGTCATCCGCGCGGGGTCCCGACCACACGCGAGATGCACGTCGCTCCGCACTCGTACGCAAACGCGGGGCCTCACCCGTGGACGGACAGAGCTCGATCATCCGCGTTCAGGCCGGCGTTTCCTCGTCCGACAGTTACCTCCGCTCTTGAGACGCGCACAACAGAGTAGCCGGCGTGCGGTCCGGTCCCGCGGCGGGGCCCAGTTAGTAAAGTACGCGGGCGTTCAGGGCGGCCGTAAACAATGGTTTTAGCGAGTGCGTATACGCCATGGCCGCGGAGCAGCCGGAGGTGCGCTGGTGGCCGACTCCCACGGTTCGCAGGGACGAGACTCTCTTTTCTCTCTCTCTCTCTCTCTCTCTCTTTCTTCCTCTTTTTCTCTTCGCGCGCGAGTCTCTCTAAGGCTGGTCTTTACGCGTACTTTGGCTGTCCACGACTCACCCACTTTGCTTTACTTAAGGCTGTTCGGGGCCTAAGCCGTTCCCTCCGCCGTCGCCGCCGCCGTCGCCGCCGCCGCCCCCCTCGTCGGGCGATCATCGTCTGCCTCTTACCTGACGTTTACTCGTCGGCGTATACTCGCTACATTCCAACCTCCATTAGGAGAGGGCACGTTGCTGGTAGCACGAGTTCGCGAGAGCCCGCGAGAGCCGCGGACGCGACTATCACCGCCGATCAGCTGAACGTCCGAGAACGAACTTGGACCCTCGTCCGGGCTCTTCCTTGCCGCGGGAAAAAAGCCACGCTCGGGGAATTGAGAGAGCGTAATCTCGGCGTTTCTTTGCTCGGCTGAAATTGACATCCGTCTTGGAGGGGCTGGGGATTTAGAAGCGAGCAATTCAGTGGGATTGCAGCGAAGGTGCCTTCTCGAGAGCTCTTCGATAGCTCGAGGGGTTGTTTGCAAGTTGCCGAGGTTCTTCGCGGAACCCGATGAGGAACAATCGAGGACGCGCCGTTTTCACGCGCATCGCGCTCAAATGCAACGCGTCGACGCTCAATCATCGCCCGGGCGTCGCCCGTGGATTATAAACTCGTTACTTGGAGAACGTTGAGGAAGAAGGGGCAAATAAGACAGAGAAAGAAACGATCGTTCCCCGGTGGAGAGACTCCCGTCCGAAGGCGACTTCCTCACGCAAATTAGAGCCTGCCGAGGTTTTAATCGCCGGGGGAATACAAAGGCGCAGCGCTCCCCGCCGCCGGTGGACAGTCGTTGACCGCAGACGATAACCGTTCCCCAGTCTCACTCCCACGCGTAGTTATGAGATCCGCGTGTTTCGCGATGTAAAACGGCGGAACGCGGGAGCAGTTTCGAATTTCACGGATGGCCGGCCTGCGAGCGGCCCGATGACGATTGGTGCGCCCAACGTTGGTTGCTCTGGACTAAAGGCCCCGACATTGCTCTCCCTCTTCCTCTCTTTCTTTCTTTCTCTCTATCTTTCTCTGGTCCGCGGGAACAGGAAGGAGCCGCGCCGATTTTTCCCTTCCGCACGCTTACATTATGCATTCGCGAAACGCATCCGAAGTATCGTCGGGAAATAGGCGCACGCGGTCGAACGAGCTCGGAGGCGAACGCCTCGACCGTAATTCCATTCCGCTCCAAACGTTCCCATGAAGATATCGCCATGGGATAGCTGCTTAGCTGCGGGAATTAATTGGGACAGATGGTCGCGCGCTTCACGACCGACGAGACACTAGCGAATACGCCGAGGCGTTGATGAAAGTGAAAAATTGACCCAAGATGGAAAACGAGTTTAGCGTTTTCCTCACAGTTGGCCGGCGACGCACATCCTTAACCCTTCTTCCGCGGCAGCTGCAACGCGTCACGTCGCGAGGAGTCCGTTCGAAACTTAGACAATGCAGCCTCGCGCCGAGGCGTCGAAACGGTCGGATAAACAGCGTGGACGAAATTACGCTCCATTCAGCCTTTCATTCATCCGAGGCATCCCACCTTGCGCCTCCGTAGCCTTCCTCGCTGCGGTCGTCGCTGCGTCGCTCTACGCGGCGGCGGCGGCCTCCTCACCTCCTCCCGGACGTAATAAGCAAAAAAGTTCACCCGGCCGGGCCATTACGTAGAAAGGAACGAAGAAATTATCTACTCGGCGCGTAAAAAGCGTGGCAAAGGCAATTCCATCGCGGTGGTTGGACCACCGAGACTTATTTTTGTGCGCCGCGAGGATACACTTTCTCGCCGATCGCTGCCTAGACTGCCACCATAGATCGGGACTTTGTCTACGGTATTCTTGCACCATCGATCCTACTTCGGTCGAGTCACTGACCGAAAATTCGTGCCCGTTGCGCGACGAGAACCCAGAATCACCGTCGTGTCACCGCCTCCTCCACTCGCGTCCGTGCAAGAAACGTCGACCGCGACGAATCGCTCGAGAGCGTGAAAGCTTTTAGTTTTCCGCGAGAAAATCGAAACGTTTGTCGAAAATTAACCAATTTCTAATCCGGTCAGAAACTGGCCAGTTAGAACGACACTTGCTTCACTAATAAATGGGCAGTAAAACTCGTCTAATCAATATATCTTCTTTCAGCTTGAGCGAGAGACTTGATTTACAATTATATTCCTTAATCACACACATCCATCCATTTCTTATTTTTATCTAACTAGTTATTAATATTCCTGTAGTTACATTGCCTCTCTATGTAATTGACTTTACAATATCATCCCCTTTACCTAAATGCCCTTGCAATCTCCTTTCACAATCTTCTTAATTTTTGTCTAACATCCTTTATACACTACCTACACTTTCTCTGTATCACGTCTAATTACACTTTTCTATTTCACTGAACGGGTACTATATCGTCCTGATACACAATATTCCTGTTCCTTCCTTCAGCCGTATACTCCTATCCCTTTATATCTTTCCTCTTCTAATTTGACTTCTTCACTGCTCTCCTTATTTCCTCTTCATCCTCTTTTCCCGCAATTTGCTTCTGTATTTTGTCAGTTTTATTACTTCACTCTATACTTCCTACTAATTTGATGATGTAATTCCTCTGCCTTCTTCTTCTGGATCAGTTTTACCCGTTAATAAAATATTCTGCTCGAGACGTTAGCCGAATGATTCTTTTTGATTTCAGAAGGCGACGAGGGGTTGAACAGACACCTCGTCCGACAACCCGGCGAGGTGTTGTCCGAGATAGAAGAGGGTGGCGGGAGGAGAGGGCTGGACGGAGGGTGGCGTGCTATGATCAGCATGGAGCTTCCGGCACACGCGACGCAGCATGGTGCTCTACACCTGGGGGTCGGGGTCGGGGTCAATCCAGGTGACCCAGCCGGAAGTGCCTTAGCCGCCATTCACCCGCATCCCCAGGACCCTCTAGCCCTCCACCATCATAATCACGGCGCTGCGACAGCCGGAGGTATGCATGAGGACTCCAAGAAAAAACGTATGTTTCTTCTTATGAATCCTTTTTATGCTCTCTTATTACGTAGAACTTTAAGACGATTGTCGCAGGAGAGCCAGAAAAAGTACTTTCGACCGTAAAAGAAAAATCAGAAAAGAATGAAAAAGTAGGTAGAAGAAACAGAAGAACAAAATTCTGAAAGGATCCAATCACGATCTGTTCCTGCGACGATCCAATTTAATTTTATCGATAGCCACATGTCGCGTAGTTTTCGAACTCACCGATTCTACAAAGCGCGATTACTCCTCTCGCGCCATCCGCGGAAGTTGTTGACCTCACCCGCAACCGACGATTATTCCATCGTCCGATATCGCTCGCAGATGCTTGTCCCGACATCGAGAACGAGTCAATGCGGCAATCGACATGCGAGCGATCGCGACGCGGCGAGGGTGAAGTCCTAGGCAGCGCGGTGCACAGCCGATAGGAATGCCGCGGTCGCAAAAAGGCGCAGAGGCACGTGCCTCGCGAGGTACCCGCGATAAATCTTCGTCCGCACGGTGACGCTTCTATTACCGGTTCGCGCGCGATGACGATGCATCACGTTCGCTGAGTCAAGTTGGAATTCAGGAATCCGTCGAATGCACTTTCTGATGCGTTCTCTCGCGATCATCGGGCTGTTCGACAGGCGCGTTGCCCGAAGCGCCTCAGCGCTACGGCGGCGGATTTCTCGGGGTAAAATCGCGCGAAGAACAAACCGAAGAACAGTAGTTCGCGACTTCAAATCGCAGCGATAACGACTTAAGTACCAATCGCCTCGTAATTACTCATCATCGCGTTGGCGCGATGCCGATTAGAGATCCGCGTCGCCTTGAAGCGATCCACGACGAGCAGCGGCGAGTCGTCGCGCTCTCGCACACGCGATCGTTAATATTCTCGCGAATCTCGTGTGTGAGAGCGCGATTAAGCGCTCAAAATGCAAAATTCTATCGTTCCCGCCATCGCCATTATCTCCTACCGTTTATCATCGTGATCTCGCTATAAACCACGTGCTTATTAAATCCCCGTATCGACGGCGCACATCCGGCGTGGAGACGTTACGTGCCGAGGGACACACGTGCGAGCGTGCGCGCCAACTGGGAAGATTTTTCTATTAAATTTAACGCGTTTCCCACGTATCCCCCCATTCATCCATTGCGACACGAATTTTCGTGTGTTGCCAACAAATAACACAACTTATCTGTGCACACACAGCAAAATAGTGTATTGTAGCAAGTGTTACTTGTTTCGAGAAAGAGAAAGAGAGAGTATTCATGAGTCTACATATCTACTGACCTATTTTAAACTTCATCATAAGCATCACATTTGTTTAAAGTTCATTCCGTATCCTGGTAGATTTAGGGCCGGTTTTTTAATAGCAGTTTAAACTCGAATTCAAGTTTAAACTTTATTCTAACACACACACGCACACACACACACACAACACACAATGCGTTTGTTTTGTTTAAACAGAGTTTAAGTTGAAATCTAAGTTTAAACTATCATTAAACACAACCGACCTTTAGTATTTTAAATGAGAATATCGGATGGAAACAAAAGTTCAGTTTGCCTGCTACATAAAGTGAAGCTAACTTTCTTTTCGATAAGGTGTCATAATATTCTTTTGTAAAAAAGGTGTTAATTTTAGAAAATAATTACTTAATTTAAACAAATATCTTCATAGTACTGTCCAAACGTTTTTTTGAAATTTAGTAAATTTTTTCTCAGTGCATATTTCAAGACTATATATTATGAATAAAGAACCTATTCGCATAAAATTACCATAATATATTCTTATTATGATAAAAAAATATTATGAATAAAAAGTTACTTAGAAAAAAGAAAATATAATATTCTATTGTAAAAAAAGAAGATATAAAAGAAGGTGTAAAAGAAGATGTAAAAAAAGGTGAAGAAAATTAATTCTTCTTTTGGGAATACGACCTCTCTCTTTTCATGAAACTTGTGATTCAAATTTGGGATGTGTACACTGAGAAAAAAATTTATTAATTTCAAGAAACGTTTGTTTAAATAGTATTGTGAAGATATTTGTTTAAATTAAATAATTATTTTCTAAAATTAAAGAAACAAATTTATATTTAAAGCTTCTTTATTTAATTTTAGAAAATAATTACTTAATTTAAACAAATATCTTCATAGTACTGTCCAAACGTTTTTTTGAAATTTAGTAAATTTTTTCTCAGTGCATATTTCAAGACTATATATTATGAATAAAGAACCTATTCGCATAAAATTACCATAATATATTCTTATTATGATAAAAAAATATTATGAATAAAAAGTTACTTAGAAAAAAGAAAATTAATTGAGCAATAACTTTTTTCGCAGTATATCTTTCTGTGTGTACTTTACATATAAAACATCAAGAGTGTACACGTTACATTGAAATTGTTATTTTGACACTACCATTTTTACGAACTCAACGCAGAATAGTCCAAATAACGCAACGACAATATGTTGAATTGATGTATGGATAAGTTAAAAATCGAACCAAGAGATTTCCACACGGATCGATTTCAACACACAAAGACAAAATGTTTTTCACCGTGCAATGATTTCTCTCATCAAAGACCGCCGGAACGAGACTCTCGCGTGAAAGAGCTCCTTGTTCCGTACGGAACAATCGAGTTAGCCGAAGTTACCCGGCGCGGGATCTTTTCGAACGTGCGCGCGCGTCAGGATCGACTTAGAAGGTTAGGTGGTTGTTTCTACCTTGGTGGGCGCTCTCGTCACACACAGCGACATTTTTCCACACGTACACGCGCGTCCACACGTGGGGCACAGGCGCACAGACACATTGTCAGGATCGCCGTGGAGAAGCGGTAGTTTCTTCCAACGGTTGCTTGCGCCAATGTAGAAGCCCATCGTGTTCCTTCGTCCTGCTGGTGAACGTGTGCGTGTATATGTGTGTGTCTCTCTCTCTCTGTGTGTGTGTGTGTGTGTGTGTACATGTGTGTGTATGCGCGTGGAAGAGAGTGGAGCTGGTTAAGGAAGATGAAAGGCTGCCGCCGTGGCGGCAGTGACACGGCATGAGCCACGAGGCTCGGCAGGTGGAGGGGCAGGAAGAAAGAGAGAGTCAACAGGGGTCGTTAAATCTAATGATATCGGCTATTCGACGGAGACAGAGTCGCGGATCGGTTTAGGGCCCACACGCATGTCCTCCGCACACATGTTGGTCGCGTGTGGAGATCGCGTCGAGATCGCGTCGAGTCGTTGTCTGTTGTTGGTGAACGACTCTCGTCGGCTTTCTACACGATAGTCGCCTTCTTCTTCGCGGCTTCCCTTCCTCCTCATCTTCCTGCTCCTCCTCTCGCGGGCTTCTCATCGACCGCGGGACAAATACGTTTTTAATCGCGCCTCTCTGAAATGACCGAGGCACTTTTACCGGTCCGGCCAGCGACGTGTAGCGGACTCTGATTATCTCTAATGGTGCGTAACTACGCGGCAACATTAATTTGTAATTAATGCCTATACCTGCGTGTCGCCGGCCGCGAATCGCGCCGGCTATGCGCGAACTGCGTGCTGAATTGCACGGTTTATCGACCCGTTAGGCGACGCAATAATTATTTCGTGCGCCTCTCGGGGCGAGAGAGACAGAGCCACCACCGAGGTCCACGACGGTTCGCTTTGTTTCGATTTCGCAGTCGTGACTAATCGCTGCCGCTCCATTTGTGTGGACCCGACGATCCCGGGGCCGAGAAGTCCGCGCAGTTTAATCGACTGTTCGACGGCACCGTTGAAACGGGTCCTTTTTTCTGAAAATTGCCGGAGACGAAAGTGATTTTCTAGAGGCGGGATCGAGGCGTGACGTGACCTGATCGCTGAAATTCAACCAACGTTTCATTTCCGAATGAGATTAGCGAGAGGAAAAAAGGCGTAGACTGGTATAAGTCAAAACCCACGCCTTTCTCCAGCCGATTACGCGTCAATCCGACGTGTATACAGGGTGTCTGATGATAATGTACGGATCTCTCGTGTAAATTAGATAAAAACGAGTAAGAAATTTCTCTATCATTTTGCAAATAATCACGTAGATTTTTTATTATTAATCAAGAAAATTAAATAAAGCGCATTGGCGAACGAACAATAATTCGCCAATCTTCTTCATAATCAATGACTAATAATCTACGCGGTTATTTGCAAAGTGGTAGAGGATTATTTCGTTCAGTTTGACCAAATGTACACAGACGTCGTCATCGCGGCTCATCTGCTGTGTCACGCGTGATCGATCTCCTTTAATTGATAACTGAAAATTTTACGGTGCTTGTCTGTGTAAGATAGCAGAGCAATCTCTCGCTCAATTTCACTTAATACAAAGGTACACGAGATATTTATATGCATCGTCACAGAGACACCCTGTATATGTTGCACAGGATACATGTGTAGTTCGGTGCGTTTGACCGTTCGGTATAACAGCCGCGGACAGCGTATTCAATAATTCATATCGATATCCGACTTGATATTCAAGAATGCAGTGTTACGTGAAACAACTTCTCAGCCTTCGTGATAACAACCTACATCTTTCGCAAAGAGAAAAATGTATTCGCGACTATTTGCATACTACACACCATCGCGAACGGCATCGATCACTCACGCTGTCGCTTTTGAAACCGCCTCCGACTCTATTAATTCGGCGATTTCGATATCACGACGACGTAATTTTTCGAAGTGCACCTAGGTAAAAGTATCAATGCACGGACACTTACTTAACTATGAACATTCTTACTGTTTTGGTCTTTAAACACGAATACTTAAATTTTCGACATAGAATACATATACATTGTACAAAATTTTGTGTTAAATTTAACATCAATTTAACAACAATTTTGTGTCCAATTTATCCACTCTAATTTGTGTGTAAATTTAACACAAAATAGATATGTAAACAAATAACACAAGTAATATGTCGGAAATCAACATAAAAATGTAACATCTATTGTGTTATTTTTAGGAATGGCGAATATATGATTTTGCCATTAGTTTTGCGAGATTCAAAATGGCGGACCAAAATCGCAGACATTTCAAAGACTTTATTCAAAGTCAGTTTCGAAGAGGTTTTTTGAATCTTGCAAAACTAATGTCAAAATCATAATTAGCGACTTCAGAAACATTCAGACAATGAAATTATAATAGAGTAATGTCGTAAAAGAGTGACGCTCAGAGTAGTATTAGTTATTATGGTGCTATAGAATGTTAAATTTTCGAATGCGTTTTCTAACCTTAAAATGCCTTGTTAGCCAAAATAAAAAGTACGTGTCTAATATTTCTCTACGCAGTATAGTCGAGATAACGCAACGACTATACGTTAAATTGACACACGGGGGTATGTTGAAAATTTAAGACACAAAAATTTCCACATCAGATTTCAACACAAATACAACATGTCTGTCATATGTCGAATATATGCATATTCTATGTTAAAGAATCTAAATATGCGTATTTAAAGGCTAAAATAATAAAAATATCCAGAGGTAGATACGCGTCCCGGCAGTTTTAATAATTAAAAAAACAGAAGGAAAGAGAGAAGAAGAGACAAACGCGCTGTGTACCGTTACTTCGAAGTCGCAAGGCTCGGCGGAGGATTAAACGCGCGCCATTATCGAGCGAGTAACACATAGCAGGCTTTAATCTCTCCACGCGAAAGTTATTCTTTCCGCTGGATGGACGCGCGGATCGCTTATGGGGATTCCCATCGCGCCAACCCCGCAACAGAATGACTGGCAGCATCTAATATATTTCGCACCGTGTGCATACACGAAAACGCGTCTCGCCTGTATGCGTGGTGTACGCGCCGCGCCGAGTTGAGTCGAGCCGTGCCGTGCCGTGCCTATATAGGAGAGCACACTCGGGGTGAGATAGCGGCGGTTATTTATGGGGTTAAATAAAGGAACACCGCGCGATCGCGCGATACCAGGTCCGAGTACAAATAGGTTGCCGTGCAGGTTGCTATCGTAGACGAGCGTTGCGACTCGTCATGATCCGCGGCGTGCAACGCTGAGTCCTCTCTCGCGCGGAGTAACCGTCTGGGCGTCACGACGTGAGTTAAGGGTTTCTCTCTCAAGCGGGTCTCTTCTCCGCTTTCGACATATATATGTGTGTATATATATATATATATATATATATATATATATATATATATATATACATATATACGTACTTATGTATCTATTAATTTTTTTATGTCCTTCGATATATACACGTTACGTATAAGAGAATTAAATGAATTTCAGCCGCGTGAGTTGCATTGTCAGGGCTTACCTGAAAATATCGTTATCGTGGTTTTGCTTTGTATTAGGATCTTTTTGTTGCTTCTGAAGTGTAGAAGCGCTGATTTCGAAGAAGCTAAAATTACAATGCAGCTCGTCACATTACTACAATAGACGAGACGAAGAAAGGAATCTGAATAATACGATCGCGAATGAAAGAGGTCGCCTGTTGCTCATGTGTACGTGTTTGCGTGCTTTAATCGATCATGACACTCAAGTCTTCCAAATGGGCAAGATAAAGAGCAACATAGACGCGTCCCAAAGAGACTGCTTTTTATTTCACGTCGCTACGTCGACTCATTCGCGAGTTATAGCCGTTTCAAGCCGCGACATCAAGTACGCATGGTCATTGCTGGTACTTGCTTTCACTCTCTCTCTCTCTCTCTCTCTCTCTCTGATTACGTTCTGATTGTCAGTAAAATCTATAATAGTCATAACATGAACCATGGATTGTTAGTAGTAGCAGTGAATATCGGAGCGCAGTCTCTTTCTCTCTCTCTTTCTCTCTCTTAAAATAAAGGTGAGACCTCGTGGTCGCAACGAGCACGTGGCCGCGGCCTTCTTTGTTTGGGGCGCGGAGTGGGGGTAGTGAGCCATTCAAAAAGTACATGTTCATCGAACACAGTACGTGCCAGCCGTTGAATCTCGCGTTGTTTCAAAAGTCCAACTTGCAAAAAAGTCGTTCTCCGAAGATTGGATCTAGCGTAGCGTTGTTAGCAAAGCCGCTTTCTCGCGCATGCTTTCTCGACCCTGCTAATCCAAGTTGCGTGTCTCGTAAAATACTATTACTACACTTTGAGAGAACGTTTTTTTACTCCTTCAGTAATTTTTCGAAGACTTTAGAATAATTTTCGAGTTTTCACAAAGCGGTCTCTGAAAGTTGGGTCGAGCATGCGTATTTTGTTTAGTACTGTCGCCCGGGAATATGGAGTATCATTGCTGAACTCCATTGTATTACTACACAATTAAAAAAAATACATAAAATAAAAATACAAGAAATACATAAAATAAAAAATAAAATATAACATACACGTTTTCAAGGCCGCCTTATAAAAAAATATGTGTTACATTTTATTTACATTAAAGAAAATTGTGCAGTAATATAATGAAGCAACGGTGGTACCTTATATGGCTTGTCTTACAAGTAACACTATCCAAGTGCTACACGCCGATCTTCTTGAAACTTTACACACATGTAGTATATCGAAAAATATTAGACACGTACTTTTTATTTTGGCTAACAAGGCATTTTAAGGTTAGAAAACGCATTCGAAAATTTAACATTCTATAGCACCATAATAACTAATACTACTCTGAGCGTCACTCTTTTACGACATTACTCTATTATAATTTCATTGTCTGAATGTTTCTGAAGTCGCTAATTATGATTTTGACATTAGTTTTGCAAGATTCAAAAAACCTCTTCGAAACTGACTTTGAATGAAGTCTTTGAAATGTCTGCGATTTTGGTCCGCCATTTTGAATCTCGCAAAACTAATGTCAAAATCATAATTAGCGACTTCAGGAACATTCAGACAATGAAATTATAATAGAGTAATGTCGTAAAAGCTGTAAAAGAATGACGCTCAGGAGTAGCGTTAGTTATCATTGTACTATAGAGTATTAAATTTTCGAATGCGTTTTCTAACCTTAAAATGCTTTGTCAAAATAAAAAATACATGTCTAATGTTTTTCGATGTACTACATGTGTGCAAAGTTTCAAGAAGATCGGTGTGTGGCATTTAGGTAGTGTTACTTGTAAGATAAGCCATATAGGATACCATCGTTGCTCCATTATATTACTGCACAATTTTCTTTAATGTAAATAAAATGTAACGTACATATTATTTTATAAGGCGGCCTTGAAAACGTGTATGTTACATTTCATTTATGTATTTTTTTTAATTGTGTTGTTAGCCAAAATAAAAAATACGTGTCTAATGTTTTTCGATGTACTACATGTGTACAAAGTTTCAAGAAGTTCGGCGTGTGGCACTTGGGTAGTGTTACTTGTAAGATAAGGAGAGATATAGGATACCACCGTTGCTCCATTATATTACTGCACAATTTTCTTTAATGTAAATAAAATGTAACATATTTTATAAGGCGGCCTTGAAAACGTATATGTTTCATTTTATTTATGTATTTTTTTTAATTGTGTTGTTAGCCAAAATAAAAAATACGTGTCTAACGTGTCATACCTGTTTTTCGATGTACTACATGTGTACAAAGTTTCAAGAAGATCGGCGTGTGGCGCTTGGGTAGTTTTACTTGTTAGATACTGTCCTGATGCCGTGCACGCCGCGCATGCGCGCGCAGCCTCTCCAATATCGGAACACCGCGATGAGAATGCGTCTGCGGCACGCGGCACCGCTACCATCCACGTGTAAACAAACACGTGCGCTGGCCCCGCCGATCGCGAGAACGCGGATCGATATAAACGTCAATAACTCCACTTGTAGACGTCGTAGCGAGTTGAGACGAAAAGCGTCGGAAAGGGGAGATTACCGCGCTTTTGATGGACGTGAAATCGCGTTCTTGTGTGGAATAAGGATCGAATAGTGTAAGTACGAAAGACACTGGTGTCTGCGTTTGTGTCAAAGTAGACTGTAATCTATGCGAAAAACCAATGGAGAACTTTGTTTCGGATTTGCAACGCGAAATGTTTTATGTTTTTCACGGGCATAAGTCTCTGTTTCAGTGACACGACTTAGCCGCATTTGATACTATCCAAACACTTATGCTATATAAAATATAGCACAGCTATGTTTTAGCTTTTGCGACTGACTTTCGTTTTTGCGTGTAGAAACGCGCGTGTGTACTCGATTCGGCGGCAATCTTAGCGGAAGATATTTACGCACCTTGTCGGATTTCAATTCCATCTCTTAATAGCAGATTCTCTTTTTCTGTTTTGTACAGATGACGGCGGCCACGGGATACACCAGGACGGTGAGTGAGCTTCGATTTTCACATAATTATAGTCCTTGCGCGATCCAGTTTTTCGACGCGGCGATGATGCTTGCCGACTCTCGGCGGCAGACGTTAGGCTGACGGACAGGCGGAAAAGTCGCGCGAGGAAAATGCGAGCGATCGCGCAAGCGTTACTTGGCGCGTTCTCGCGGATAAACGTTTATCGCGGACCGTTATCGACGCGCCGCGTTCCCGTTATAACCTGCGATGGTAATTAAATACGGTGGAAGCGAGAAAGTTATCTGAAATGTCGGTTGCTTATCGGTATTGGGATCGATCGCGAGAGATCACCAATTATCTCGACGCGCGTGCTTACCGCTACCTGGACGCGCGCTCCTACGTGCCGCGATACGCGATCACTCGAGTGATTCAATCGCCGTCGCGTATTGATAAACGCTGCACCCTTGAAGCTTATTAATAATTGAACGCGATGCTCTGCACGCGCCACCGAGTCTGATTGCCCTAAATCTAGGAAGCGATCAACGAGAGACGCTCTGCTCCGCGAGGCGAAGAACACCTTCGACACCGTCAGCGTAGCCGCGGCAGATGTTACGTCCGCGATAACAGACCGCGTGAAAGATAACGACTCTGCAATTTACGGAGAGATACATCGTACACCGAGGCGTTTCATTACTGCATTAAATCTGCATTAGAGTCTCCGTTGATTCGAATTCACTTAACACTTGTGGCGCCGCTGAGACTCTCCACTCCTCTTGATTAAATTGACTAGGATTTCTTGAGATTCAATTCGGTTCTCTGAAATAATTAGTGGAGATTCTAGTTGGAAGCATGATGCTTCAAATGGCTTCAAATGGCTGGAAAAAGAAATGGAATTTCTGTTTCGTATTCAGATAGACAGTCTATGTTTGGAATAAGAAGGAGATTCCCAATTTATCACAGTGGGATAACCAACTCTGGAACAAATTTGGACATTTTAATCGGAATCTATGCTGTACCTGGAAAACTCTCGAGAAATTTCTATGTAGGTTTGAATTAAGAATTCTGGATTGAGGTATCATAGTGGGATAATCAACTTTGGGACAAATTTGGGCATTTTATTCGGAATGGATGCTGTGTCCAGGAATGATAGGAAGCTTCTTCTAAGTCCACTTTTAAGTATTCGATATTCTCCGCGGGTCCTATCCTAAAAAATGTATCGTCCTCGCGGCAGATTTTTTGCGCGTGTGCCAGGGATGTTTCGATCGTTTTCCGGCTCTGGGGGCGCGGATTAGACGGATAGCTGAGGGATTGCCTCCTTGTGGACGAAGTGGCGCGCGCTGGTGAATCCAGCATCGCCGGCGCGATGTTCGCGTATAATTTATGCCGATGACTTACACGCCTCGCCGCGGTAGGTGGGAGACGGCGGTGGATGGTAATCACGAGTTTAAAGGGTAAACGATCGCAAGGTGTTGGGCCCCGGCGTGGGGCCCCTGGGCCTGGCCAGCGCGCTCAATATTCAACAGGTATTTACATTCGCAAATTGTTTACGTCAGCCCACGATGAAATCTGTCAGGGTTTCGTTCCGTCGGCAGCTCAACGGAGCTCCACCATATCCCTCCTCAACCATCACCTTCTTCCCGTCTTCTTTTCTTCTCGTCCTTCCTCCTCGTCGTCTCTACGTTGTACCTCATCTCCGTTCTCGCCTGACTCCCACACGCGGGTCCTCCCGCGAGAGACGCACAACGACGAGAAGAGGCTGCCCTCTTCTCTCGCGTCCGCCCTTCTCCCGAGGCGGCGCGTAATTACATCTGGGTATTAATCAAGCGCACGTCGGGAACGAGCACGGCGAGATCTTGATTTTCGCCGCGTCGCTCGATCGCGGCTATCGTTTCGGCGTTCGTCAGCGCGAACAAGCGAGTGATCGCTAATTTGACGAGCATAGCTCATTCAGCGGCGTTTAGTCGAAGATTGATTGCAAGGGCATAAACGGAGATGACCGCGCGGGCACCAAGACCATTAATCTGAACTCTCTTTTGTCGATAGAAGCGTCTCTGGAAGTGTGGCTTATGAACCTTCTGAGTCACATTTAGAGGCACCTTTATTGATGAAAGACAAATTGGGGCAGAATTCGGACGCAAGAGTCCGGCTGAGATTTATCCGTGCAGCTGTGTTGTTGATCAACACAGCACGAAAATAACAGGTCCCGCGCTCGAGCGTAGAATACGGTATCGCACAGTACGGTATTTCCCGCGCGCGCTTCGTCGTGGATACCTTTTCGCGATTTTTCAGCTCGCTCGCAAGATCGAGGCTACGGATAAGCCGGCCACCGGTCAAACGTTCGGTGCCAATGCGCAGAACCAGTTTACTTTCCTTAATACCGGACGATTACGCTGGCATTAGAAAAAAGGGGGACAAAAAGGCAACGCGCCGCAACCCGCAATGAGCTATCCGGCCGCCGAATCGCGCGGCGATCGCTTCGGAATCACCACCGCGCATCGCCAAGCGCTCTCAAGCCTTTCGCGCTCCAAAAAAAAAAAAAGAAAAACGCCGGAATTTCCCGCGCAGAATTTCAAATATTCCGATACGCGCGGCTCGTCGTGGGAGACTAGACCGTATTTTGATAACGCAAGCGGAAAACGTACTCAATGTAATCTCCTTGCCTCGAGACGCTCTCTCTTTCTCACACACACACACATGTACTCTCTCCCGCGCTATTTCTCCCTCTGTCCTGCAATCCGGCGCTATCGAGACTCTCGGATAGATCCCGGCAACGGCGGCAGTTTACGCTCCTCTTCTTCCCAGGTCCCAAGCAGAGAAAGAGAGAGAGAGAGAAAGGGACAGAGAGAAAAAGAGAGACCCGACCCGAGCGGTGTGTGTTAACGTTTATCGTCGGTTATTAATACAGCGCGGATTACGCGTCGTAAGTAACATCGTGCGCACGTGTGCGCGCTTGGTGCATACGCGGGTGCGTGCGTACGTGTACCTGCTGCACTCGTACCTGTGCGCGCGCGCGCGCACGGTTACCTGCGCGCCGGGCCCGCGGTCCTAATTATAGCGTAATACAAGCGCAACCGCGTATGCCGGCGCGGCGCTTACGTAATCCCGCGATAATGCGGCTCTCCGCGAGTGCACGCGCTCTCGCGAGAGCGCGCGATCGCGCTTACGCGCCTGCATACCTCGCCTGCCGATGGAAGCATTCGCCCCTGCCGGCCTCACCGTGCCGACCGGGGTTGAGGCAGGCCGTGTTATCTTCGGCTTGCCGGCGCCGATTTTTGCACGACCGATCGCCGTGAGTTCGGCGATTCGCGCACAAGCCCTGCCGCGTTGACTTTGGCTGCGTTCGCTTATGCGCTGTAAGCGTCATTCTATCTTTTTCCCGCATGTAATGGGCGATGAAGATAGAATGACGCTTACAGCGCGTAAGCGCCCAAAGCAAACGCAGCCTTTATGTCGCGACCTGACATCGCGATGAAGCGCCACGAAAGGCTATCCCGCGACTTTGATCGAAGCAATCTCGTTCGTGTCACAAAGAGAGAGAGAGAGAGAGAGAGAGAGAGAGAGTGATTTTTTAAAATAAAATTTGTATTAAAGTAACTTAAGGTTGCTTTAGATATTAAGAATTAATTTCGACCAATGAGATTGGCGTAGAGGTTTAGTAAATGTGTGCTTGCGAGGCATAGAGAGAAAGAGAGAGAGAGAGAGAAATAGAGAGAGAGAGAGAGAGAGAGAGTAATGTTCCTGATTTTCTCAGTTCCAATTTTCGATTGTGAATGCTATATACACAGAAAAATAATGAAAAATAATTTCACTGCTAAGAAATGCGATCACTCAGTTTACTTTGCTCCTTTTAAATATTGTTATCTTCAAACAAGAATATTTTCTTGACAATAGAATTAAAATATGTTCATCATAAATTTAAGAAAAACTCATTATTTCATTGAAAAGAAAAGTTTGTCCTCTTTACAAGAATATTATAAAACTTGATCAAAGCTGTTCTCAATTTTATGTACATTACTCAATTTTATGTAAACAAATTCACCGAAATTTTGTTTCAATTTAACATTCTCGCTTAAAGTATCAAACTTGCTAGGATTCAGGATTCGGAATAAATGTGATGTTTGCGATGAACTTGTGATAGATTTGCGGATACATAAACTTTGAAATACTTGAAACAAATAACTATTTATTTGAATGCAGCATGCATTCCAGTTAGTTACCAGAATGGTAACCTCAACTCTGGAAGTCACCTCGATTCCCTTGATTGTTTTTTCAGTTGTAACTTGCTTGAAGATTTTCAGTAACTTTTTTACGGAAGGAAAGTAAGTGCCAATCTTTTCAATTAAGTTGTTTTTCAAAGTATAGGGCAAAATAACTAATAATGGCAATCTAGGCGCATTGACATAAAGGCACATTTAGCCATCTTCTATCGTCGAACCAACTCCACATTCCGCCAATATTACCTTTTTTTCTTTTTTATCCAAGAATAATCCATTTTGCCACTTTTCCATTTTTTCCGGGAGGAAAACGAAACGTGCGGGACACGCGACGATAAAAATGTAATTGCACAAAATTGCGCACGGCGAGATTTCCGCTATTATTAAGATCAGCGCTTTCGCACTGCGGAGTACGTTCGCGCCGCGCGCAGCATTATAATTAAAGACACGGTTTCCCAGGTCCCCGCGGTATAATTCGAACGGGGCTGAAATCGGCACGAATTTAATCGCTTCGGCATAACTTACGGCTTCCTTTCGGCTCGCGATAAATCCGCGCCGGGCAGCGCCGCGAGGTTCCTCATATCTCAGATAGGGAGATTACCGACGAACAATTAATTAAGATTAAACTGTATTCTCTGCGGAGAATCCGAGCTCGTTAGGTAAAAGTCAGCACGCCGCCGTTCGCCCCGCCGCGCTTCGGCCGAGTTAGGAGTCACGCTTTGAATATGCAGATTGGCCGGGGTTCGGAATTAACGAATCAAACGGCGCATCTCGCATTATTAATCAATTAATTAATTAATGAAACGCGCGCATTATAGGGGATTA